ACTGATTAGACCTCATCAGTGTGGCCCTAAACCTGGCAAATCAACCATTGACCAGATATTCACCTTGCGATAAAACTTGAAGAAGACCCATGAAAAAAAATCGACACACTTCTCCTCCTATCGATTCTAAAGCTATCTTCAACAGCACAGTAAGGAGCTACTTCTACGCCGATATGAGAGAATTGGGTAAACCCGCCAAAGGGCTGTGTAAACTGACGCTAGACAACACCAGAAGCGCGTAAGAGGGAGCACTCCCAGCCTTTCGATACCAAACGAGATTTTAGGCAGGGTGACTCTTTATCGTGCGATATCTTCAATTTGGAGCTAGAGAAAATATAGCTCTTTATAACAATGTACAACTGCTGGTGTATACCGATGGCATAACGTCAATAACTCGCCGCGCTGTTAGTTCTCAAAGCCAGACAAAGCGATAACTTCAAGGAAATAGATACTTTCGTCTGTCTTGGAACCACCGTTAACACCAATGTTGATGTCAGCCTTGAAATTCAGTGCAAAATAACTCTTATCAACAAGTGCTACTTTGGACTGAGTAGGCAATTGAAAAGTAAAGTCATCTCTCGACGAACGAAAACTAAAATCTGCAAGTCGCTCATCGTTCCCGTTCTACTACATGGTGCAGAAGCGTGAATTATGTCGGCATCAGAAAAGTCGGCATTGAGTGTCTTTGAAAGAAAAGTTGTGCGAGCGATTTATGGTTTGTATATTGGCAAAGGCGAATACTGCAGACGTGGGAACGATGCGCTGTACAGATTATGCGGTGACATTGATGTAGTTAAGCGAATGAAGGCATAGCGACCGCGCTGAGACAAGTCGTTCGAATGATTGAAAGATTCGGGAGTATTCCATGCAGTATCCGCTGGTAAAAGCAGAGGAAGAAGACGATCTCCCCTCCGTTGAAAGGATCAAGTGGAGAGCGACTTGTTTTCATTTGATATTTCCAAATAGTAAAAGGAAGAACCGACTGCTCGTTCGGCTATAATCGCGTGAGCGGTGTTTGTGCCAAAGAAAGACAAAGAAATCCATCTGCCGTTGAGAGTTAGCCTAAAGCTGTCCACTGGTCTCTCGATTTCTTGAACAGATTTACCCAGTTCTTTCTTAATCCTACTGTTAAAAAGGGCAACCTTAGCTCGCAATATCTACAAGCAGTTACATTCGCTGAAATACCTGTGAGAATACGCGTGGGAATAATAGAGCGCCCCACTGAAAGCCAAGAGTAGCTGAACTGTTTTATACACACGTTGATGTAATGTTAGTGGTTGTAAAAATTTACATAACCGCTGTTACAAGCACACCGAATGGGTGACCTCGTTGGAGCCAATACCCCACCGTATGTGGGTATCTGTGTGTGTGTGTGAGATGAGATGAGCACCTGTATCCCCCCCAAATAACAAAGAGTCAAACAAATCCAATATCGCAGCGAAACAAAAAGAGAAAGGAAGAATGGAAGAATGGAAGAAAGAAATGCGGTCGCTATTTATCCAGCGTAGCGAGGATTTGCGCTCGGGAGCGGTGCAGACAAAAAAATGACAAAATGACACAACCACCGACGGCGTAATCATTAAAATCAGCAATGCGTGTATAATGGAAATGTGATTGAGGCAACAAATAAGAGCGAAACACAATCAGACTTGTGTACATACACACAAACATACTTCACTCGAATGGACCAATAGAAAAGTGTGAAAACAGAGGGTCTGATTTGTAATATGAAAATTACATTATCAATTTATCTACATGTGTACATATGTTTGTATGCACACATATACAAGCATATTAAAAGGGAAAGCATTATTGCAATATTTGCCGTTAAATAATTTAAAAAGACTGGCCTCTGATTTAAAATGTTAAATATTTGAGAGGACTCGTTAAGAAACTATAGGATATTGATAGCGGTAACTTGTTAGATCTAAGAAAGCTCTTTTTTATAAAGACCTGCAACCTATGAAAGTTCAAATATTTAGATTTGAGACCCGAACCTACCTGCTGAGTGCCACAGTGGTTAGCAATACGTGCTTCTCGGAGGCGGCCTTGTAGGTCCCTCCATTCGTTCGCAAACTATCAAGGCGCATACCACAAATCGGAGCGAGAGCTTGGCTGAATCGTTCCAGTAAATATGAAGAACATACCTGTTATAGTTAGATTATTAGGTCAAGTAACAAGTCACCCATTATTTTTTGCAATAAATGACTTTACTGAACTGTATACTGCGTGCTATAACTGCGATTGGAAAACGCTAGATGGCGTTAGAAAGTTGATATTTTGTACTAACAAAAAGGAACGGGAGAAGTGTTGATCACTTAAGTCAGTAGTGTTTGAGCGCCTGCCAAAAATGGACACCAACAAAGAGAAAATACGCTACATTCACAATTTTCCTTCGGTGGAGACGAAAAGTGATTAGTGTTTAAGGTCCTGTTACTGTAACAGTCAATCGTGGGCAATTTCGGTTTCGTCGATTTCTTTTCGGTAATTTTGATGTAAAAGTTGCTCCACAGTGTGGAAGGCCAATTTTCGAAAAAGGCGATGAAATAATCGCCGAATCTGACCATCAGTAGAGCGCTGTTTCTATTGCCTTTCAGTTAAGCTTTGCAGGAGAAACGGTTTGGAGCCATTTGAAAAAGATTGGATACACAAAGAAGCTCGACGCATGCGCACCATAAGATTAAAGGAGAAAAAACCCTATTTTCCATCTTCGAATCGCCGCTGAATTGTCACAAAATCGACGCATTTCTGAAGCGGATGGTGAATGACGATGATAAGTGGGTTACTTATAGGAAACGGTAATGATAAAAAGGCAGTAGATCCAGTCTCCAAGCTCAACACTGGAGCTAATCCTCAAATCTTAATTCTTAATCGCCAAATTCTTAATTCTAAGCTGTATTGTCAGCAACTGGACCGTCTGAAGGAGTCAAATGCCCGTAAGTGCGTAACTTTGGGCAACAGAAAGTGAATTGTGTTTCATCACGACAACCCCAGACCACACCCATCGATAGTGACTCGCCCGAGGCTTCGAGAGCTTGGTGGAGAGATTCTTATGCGTCCACCTTATAGTCCGGAACTCGTACCAAGTAAGTACCAACTGGTCTTATCTGTGGTGAATAATTGGCCTCAAGAGAAATCGCTGGAAATCGATTGTGTCAATTTTTTGCCAAAAGGGACAAGGGATTCTATAACACAGACCTAATATTAATTTCAAAAACAACAAAACAGTGCAAATTTTCGGAGAATTCTAATAATGGTAAATAAAGCCTGCATTTTAAAAATAATGGAAAACCAACCTGAATTGAGCTTCGTATTGCTCCCTCCCATTCATCGTATTCGCAAATTTCAAAAGATAGCTTATTGATAAGAAACGTCGCTCGAACTGCAGACTATTCTAAAGCGACACTGGAATGGTTGTGTGTCTCCTAAATGAGATGAATAAAGGCAATTTTGAACACGAAGAAGAAAAAAGAGCTGGCTTTGGTAATGAAGTGGGACGTCTCATATTCGTTCATGCAACCCGGACCTGTTGGACCGATGTCCAGAGCATTTTTGGCCAATGGAGATAACACTTCTTCAGCGTGCTGAATGGCAGTGGAAATGCAACACTCGAAGATGGCGAACCCGAAACCCTATTCGCTGATATTGGAAAAGCGTTCCATTGCCTGCCTAAGACGAGGTTCGCATAGCGATTGCACGCCTAAAAAAAACAAAGCGACTAAAGCTGACAGCCTACCGGCAGAGCTATTTAAACTTGGCGGTGAATGCATCAGCTTCTTTGCAGAATATGGTTGGTGCGAAAGCATGCCCAACGATTGGAATTTTAATCCACACGAAGGGCGAGACCACAGTCTCCGGCAGTGTGATAAGACTCCTTAATATCGTCTATGAGAACTTAACGAGTGTATTGTGTAAAAGACTAAAGCCCACAGTCAACAAACAGATTGGACCTTATCAGTGTGGCTTTAGACCTGGTAAAGCAACCACTAAAAAGACAAGTGAAAAGTGGATCGATGCACACCACCTCTTTTTCGACTTTAAAGCAGCCTTCGACAACACGAAAAGAAGCTGCCTCTACTCCGCTTTGTCTGAATTTGATATCCCTGCAAAATGCCCATTTTAAATGACGTTGAGCTACGTCATGATCGGGAATGACCTCTCCGAGCCGTTCAATACTAAACCAGGTTTCATACAGAGCAGCTGGAGAGAATGGTTCTGGTAGTGAGCGAGGACAAGAAGAAATATCTGCGGTCATCAAACAAACAGTCAACGCATACATATCTTCTCTCCCACATACAATAGTTTTGGGCAATCATAACTTCGAGCTCATAAATAATTTCGCCAATATTAGAAATCCAAAGCAGAAACACTCTCGCCAACAGGTGCTACCTTTGACTGAATAGGCAATTAAAAAGCAAACTCCTTTCTCGACGAACCAAAACTAAATTCTGCAAGTCAGTCATCATTACCATCCACATAGGGTGTAGTCGCGTGGACGATATCGACAACTGATGAGACGGCTCTGGGAGGTTTTTTGCGCACGATTTATGGGAGGGAGATGAAGATCTACATTGCGTTGGAAGCATCAGGCGAAGAGCCACCTGGTTTCACTTGGTATTTCCAACTGGCGCCGAACAGCGCCATGTGAGGAAAGAATCGCTTGCTATTGTTTATTCGGCTATAACCGCATAAGCGGCGCCCATGGCAATGAGAAGAAAAATATCGATACGATTATGGTATTACTAAAATTAATTGATAATTATTTTTTTTTACATTTTTTAGTGTCGTAGCTTACCTTATTTATTTATTTCCAAATAATGTACAGAATACATACATACATACATACATACATACATACATGCACCTTTACTTATAAAGTGGGCTTATCGCATTAAAAATTCATTTCGCATTTATTTGGCAAACAAAACAAATCAACGAAAAAGAAATATGTACATTATCTACATACATACATATATACATATTTATATATATATATATATGTACATATATACATACGTATGCAAATACATACGTTGTCAGAATATAAAAATATAATCAAACTACTAAAAAAATTCGTAACAACAACCATTGATCTCTGGAGCACCACCAACTCCTTCGGTTCCAACTATGCCAACGTGGCGCGCTTGGCCACAAAATCGCGTGCTCCGCCGCGTTCCTTGTTAGTGAAACGAGCATAACTGCAAGTAAATAAATAATAAAATATTAATATAAAATCACAAAAGACACTTTACCATCAAATGGTCATGGGTATGTATGTATGTATGTTTATATGTATGTATCATTTATGGATGTACGTATGTAGGTTTGTGGCAATTACTTACGTCTTTTGATACTTGGCTATATCTGCTGCACTCAGCGATGGCTTCGTCGTGTTGAAAGCTTCGATTAGATGCTTTTGTCGCACCGAAATTCTCGACGGCAGTTTCTGCAAGAAGGATAAAATGAAAAAAAAATAAATAAATAAAAATAGATACAGAACAAATAGGAAAATGTTGGCGAGACCTGAATGAGCGTTTAGCTATTAAAACTTTATGACTTTGCTAATTACCGTTTATGCAAATCGAACACATACACTCAAACCCACACGTATACGCATGCATATGTTTGCATGTATGTATGTATGTATGTATGTATAGTTGCTACATCTTCATTTCGCAATACTAAACAAAGCGACACACCTCCAAACAAACTTAGGCACAAACGTATATACACATATCTATGTATGTATGTATTTATGTATATATATATATATATGTATGCTTTTATATACATATGTATGTACATGTAATGAACAATGTAGTATCAACGCAGACAAATTGTCTGGTCGTGCTGGGATCTCAGCATTACAACCGACCAACCGACAACAACAGCCAGACAATCAGGAAGTCTAAGCTCATAATGTATAACGGTGTTGTTGAAAGTTACGTTAAGGTCAGGTGGGGTGAAGGTTTTGTTTACGCAATATCTCATTCAATTAGCACACACATACAATGTGCATTGCAAGCTAACCTTTTTGTCGTAAATATACACACACGCCTACATACATATGTATATATATGCAACAAATAAATTTATAGATTAACAAACTATGGTATCTCCCAACAACTGGTATGTACGAGGTGATTAACAAAGGTTCGGTCAGTTGGTGACTTAAATTTGTTTTTGTTAAATCTAAAAATACCAAATCCTTTGCAATTACTTTATTAGTCTTCCTATCGAATTTCGAAACGATCGGCTAAAATGGAGACGAGAAAACGCAAGTTAGCTGAGGATAGGTCAGACGAAATTCCATCACCAACGCAAACAGAAGGCCGCCATGTGATTCTCTTCGGGTTTCGGCATAACTCACAGCCAATACAAATATTTAGTGAATGCCAAGTTGCATATGGAATGATAGCACCGTCTTTAAAGACTATTTCTAAGTGGTTACGAAGATTCCCGATGGAACATTTTTCCGTAAAAGACGAGCTCCGAAAAAGTCGACTAAAATCTTCCCCTGAGGACGTCACTGTAGCACTGGTGAAGTCCCAAATTGACAAAGACCCACGGTTGACACAAAAAATGATTGCTAATGAATTGGGCTTGAATGCCATGGTCGTATCGCGAATATTAAATAATCATCTGGGATAAACGAGGAAATCTGCTCGATGGGTATCACGAATTTTAAATGAGGCTCGATTGCATTTTGCTCTATTTTTCCCAAAACAAATTTGAAAATGGTCAGTCTAAGAACTTTCAAAAGTTACTAGTGACAAATCTTGGTTCTATAAGTACGATCCAGAAACCAAACAGCAGTCCATGGTATGGAGCCCAACAGATGCAAGCCCACCCGTAAAATCTAAGCAACAAAAGTAAAGATATCAGTTGTAGCTGTTATTCTATTGTACTACAAAAGAGTCAGACGATAACTGCAAAAATAGTACACCGAAGAGTTCTAAGCAAAAGTTTTCAAAAATTTGTTCGAAAACAGGAAGAAAGAGGATTTGCGGCGCTACTTTCACATCATGACAACGCCACATCCCACAGCGCTGCAATAACGAGTAATTTTATTAGGACCTCCGAGATCGAAGAAATACGTCCAGCACCATGATCCGGGGTAAATTGCGGTTCGAAGGAAGGAACTGGCTCTACGATTTGGAAGTTATTATTCACAAAAAATTTCTTCTAAATTGTCGAACTATTGGCATTGCTCGATACTTAAGATTTACACAAATTTTTCAGGCCGAAAGTGATGCTTCAGAATATTGTAATTGGAAGTGGTTGAGACTCGAAAAAGTGCACTGAACTGATACAAAGCACTACAACTAATGAATGCTTACAGAAAGCCTCAAAAATTATTCGATGATCTAATTAATCTCACAAATCATAAAATGTACACGCCTACCTTTTTCAAAATGTGGCGTTAGACCGTCCGCACGTGTACAGAGTAACTAAGATAAGGATTGATATGTCTCACATAGTCCCAGAAAAAGCCTTACCTACCACATAACAGATCAACTATTTTCGGCCGATCCGCCGATCTGTTTCTTATGTTCGGTTCCATTCGAACTCAGTTTTATTTATATGATCTTTAATATATATTTTTTTTTATAACACTTAACTGAGCGTAAAATCGATGAGTGATTAAAAGAGAGCGGCCACATCCAGGTCATTAGGAATGTCACTAATAATTCAGAGCGTTTTGGGCACATGACAACTGACTTTTTTTGCTTGCAATTTAAAAATACGATTTGTGATTTTAACAAGATGGTACAAAAAAAAGCGAATATGGCTTTTTTGCGAGAGAAATCTCCTGGTAGAGTAATCTCACGTGTTGGCGATGTCAATTGGCCACCGAGTTCTTACCATTTGATACCGTTGGACTTTTTCTTTGTAGAGTTTCACGAAGGTCTAATAAAGCAAATTCATTTGGACGCATTTCCAGGAAAAACTCACTTCCAAACTCACGTCCAAAAATAACCTTTTGAAACCATTGACTTTAGATAGAGCACATAATAATACAAATTGGACAAGTTAAATTATTTGAGCACTTTGAAATACCATATGAAAACAGATTACTGCATATCATTCACTGACTTCATGACAGACTTCAAGGTAGTTATCCCGGATAGAAACCTTTGGGACAGGTTAATACCACCAAGCACCGACTCGATACATTTTTATACGGATGGTTTAAAACTAGGCAAAAAGGACGGTGGCGCGGTTAACTCAAAGGAAGTTGGTATCTGTAAATTATTTCGCTTACCAGATCGCTGTAGTGTTTTTCAGACAGAATCGGTGGTCATATACGAGGCTGTCAGTTGTCTCAGATCATTGGTGATTTCAGATAATCGTATGCATATTTTCTCGGACAGCCAGGCCGCATTACGAGCCCTGGCGTCTGTCACAGTAAAACCTAAAGCCGCAGAGGACTGCCACAGATCACTTAACGGTTAGCCTCCATGTGCTCGCACTTTACCTGGTATGAGTACCGGATAATGAGATGGCGGATGAGCTTGCAAGGAAGTTCACTTCTCTTCCACTTCCGCCAAAATGAAAGAGTTTGAGCAAGCCGCTCTCCACTTGTAAGCTCAATAAAAGAGAGTTAATCATTAAAGATGCTTACTTAAAAAGGAGAAGTCTAAATACATGAAATATGGCCAATACAATATGGTCAGCATAGAACAGGTCACGTGATCTTATCGACCTGAAAAGAAAGGAGATGTCTACAGTTATTTAAGCAGCCACGAAGAGAGATTGTGTGTACCATTAAATGATTTCTGTAAAAGTTGCAGATAGGAAGAAGTACCTGAAACATTAAGGCACTTTCTTTTATCTGCGAATGTCCCGCACTTTGTAGGAGTAGGTTTAAGTCTCTAGGGGCGACAGTCTTTGGAGACCTGATCGAAGCCTAAGATGAGGCAACTGCTCTGTTTTACAAACTCCACACACTGGTTCGATTAGCGGGTGGGAGGGAGTCTTTCGGATCCTTATAGGCATCACAATGGACCCGCTTGGGCCCTAGGTGAGCCGCTGCCCGACAGCCACTTCAACCAACCAAGCAAACACCATATGACTGCATAGCATGACAAATTAAAGGGACATTTTTTAGTTCAAATTACGTATTAATTAGTTGAGTGTAGAAAAGATCGATAATTCAGATTGAATAGCCCAGAGGTCTGATGTAAATCCTATTAAAATGTGTGCAGAGAAAAAACTTGAAACCAAACACATTTTCACTCAGTTTTTACTTCTTTTTCCATGTTATGCTATTCATGCCTCCTGCTTATTTCACCGCCTTTTCCAAATTTCCATTATTTTTGTTGTGTTATTAATGAATTTTAACTTGAGCTTTTGTTATTGCTTACTGTGAAGAGTGAACACCAAGACTTGTTGGGTGATGATATTTTTAACGACGCAAAAGCATAGAAAATGGGCTTTATAAGTCCACAGCTTCATAATGCCAAGGTTTAAACTTTAATATAAAAAATGTATTTATGAATAAAGTCATTTTCAATGTATTATGTATATACATATATATATTATATTGTATATATATATAATTGACGCTTTGTAACAGCTTAAGCGGGTTTTGGCACTTTTTTCTTTTTTCGCTTTATTTGATGAATACAAATTTAATTATTTTGCTTCAATGCTGATTTAATTAAATTCAATATATACAAATATATTTTTAACTCAGATAACAAAGAAACCATTGAAATAATATTTGGCTGCACAAAAATAAATATTAAATAAAAGAATAAAATTTAAAACATATTTTTAGGCGACCGTGGAGTTTTCTAATTCGTGCTCAAACCTCAACTATGACAACGGAGTTTAGAAAAAACAAAATACTTATATATATATGTGTGTATAAGAATTTTCAAATATTTATTATGCATCCAGCTAGCGTAAATTTAACAATAAAAGTACAAATTATGTTGAGCAAACATACATACAATTTTAGAGACAACAGATTTGGCTGAGTACTCAAATGGCACTTTATTACATATAATCTCATAATAAAATAATTTTCCTAAAAATCATAGTTTACTTAATTACACACTTAAGTACCAAATTACTTGACACTAAAACTAAACGAAAGTAGTTTATTCTTAATTTTTGGTAAATTTGTGATTTTGAGTATTTCGTAGACAAATTACAAATATAAAAAAATTCTAATTTAAGTGGAATGTTCAAAAGTTAAGCTTAAAAATTAAACATAAATATTTTAAAGTATTTCAAAATATTTTTTAAACTTAAATTTTCTGTTATATTAACAATTTTTTACTTTTTCGTTTACATAATATATGTAGCGGTATATATGTATACATGTTACTCTCAACTAACAATATTTATGTGTGTAATTTAAGAATTATTTGTCTTACAGTTAAACCGATAGCCTAAATGTATCGATGAACGTGCGTTGGGTTAAGTCTTTTCGTGTTGTTTTTTACATACATACATACGCGTTTACTTATATTTGTACTTAATGATAAAATTATTTTATTTTGTATATATTTTTTCATTTGCAAAATCATGCATATGCTGTGTGCATGCGCTTCTATGTATGTATGTATGTATATAACTATTTTATATATTTTTATAAGCCTTACTTTGCTTTATACTTAATGTATAATTCATAAATGCCTTACATGCATACATATAAGTACATATATGTATATGTACGTACGCATAGTTAATTAAATTTATATGTGTATTGATAGCGTAATGGAGACGTCTCCTGAAAAGTCTCCGCTTCGGAATCGTCATCACTTGATGACGGCGGTGTCTCCAACATGGGCATTGACAAATCCAAATACTCCTCATTGGTGGCATGATTGGATGCCAACTGTAGTATCTTATCTAAATTCTCAACAATTTCGCCAAATGTCGGTCGTACGTTGGCGTCAAAGTGCCAACACTGCCGCATTAGCATATATATATTCAATGAACAACGTGCCGGCTTCTCCATGCGCTGCCCTGTGATTAGGTAGCTGTAGAGCTCCTCAGCAGACATTATATTCGGATACGGTTGCTCGCCAAAGGTCATAATCTCCCACAATAGTACACCGTAAGACCACACGTCCGATTGGGAATCGTAAAATTTCTCTTGCAGCGACTCTGGCGCCATCCATTTGATGGGTAAACGGCCATTTGTATTCTTTCTGTAATAGTCTGTATCTTGTATATCGCGAGCCAGACCAAAGTCGGCTATCTTCATCACATAGTCATCGCTTACGAGCACATTACGAGCGGCCAAATCGCGATGAATGCACTATGGGAATATTAATGAAATAAAGCATAAAATTATTTTTAGTTCTGACAACGTAACTATTGTATGTATACACGTATGTACACACATGCAAACATACTCGTATGTAGTACATAGGTGCATGACATAACTCACCCGACGCGAAGCGAGGTACTCCATGCCACGCGCAATTTGAAATGCAAAAGACACCAAATTCTTCTCCGTCAACTGCGGTGTGTCTTCCAAGCAATCGCTGCTGCGCTGCAAGCTCGGGCTGCCCACAAACATGGGTCGATTCTTTTTGAGAAAGTCCTTAAGATTACCATGCGGCGCAAATTCGACAATAACCCACAGTGGGCCATTCTGTGTACAGCAGCCCAGCAGGTTGATGATGTTTATATGTTTGCCAATCATTTTCATTACTTCCATTTCGCGCACCAAACTCGCCATATCCGCATCGGTGTGCTCATCTTTCACCATTTTCACGGCGACAATGCTCGCTGAGTTATTATTGGCGGTACGCGGCAAGTTGCACGCTTCGGCCATAACGACGCGTCCGAAAGCGCCTTCGCCCAAAGTCGAGCCGAGATTTAGCTGCGTGCGCGGTATCTCCCAATTGGAGTCGAGCGGAAATTCATATTCGTTGAATGCTTGGGACGGATCCATGTTCGATGCTTGGAAGGTGGTACGCTGTTTTTCAATTTTGATTACCGGCATTTGTAGATCGCAGGAGCTGCCCGCCGATGAGGAGGGCTTATAGATAATCACCTTCTTCGTCCATTGGTGCACAGTCTCGATGCGATGTTTCAGCAGTTTTTCATGTTTCAATTTACGTAAAACGTATATTATGAATATGGAGCCGAAAAGGAAGAGCAACGCTACCACAACAGCGGTCATAGTCATCCACAGCGTATACACTTCACGAGTCGGTAGTTTGTCGACTACATGCAGGTAGGCACTTGCTAATGCTTGCCCTAGATTATTGCCCGCGACACATGTGTACCAGCCTTCGTCTCCGTGTGTTACGTTCTGTAAGCGCAGTATGTTCGGTTTGTCTGGATCGCCAGGAAGCTTAATGAAATCCTCAGCTGTCGGTATGTGTGCGGATGAATTGCCGTTTGCTTTATTCGAATAAAGACGCTCCAACTTTTCAATACTCTCATTTGGATGATTATATTTAATCCAGAATATGTGCGGCTCCAAGTCCGACATGACGCGGCATTCAAAGTATGCGCTGCTGTTGGTCAGAACGGTTTGATTTTGTGGAAACTTGTCGCTGTGTATGGGACGGGAACGTAGACGATCCATAATACTTAGCTTTGTGGAGTGCTCAATGCAGCCCAGCTTGTTGCAGACCGTGCACTTATAGATACCAGAGTCTTCAGCGATGACATCAACCATTTGCATAGACCACTTTTTATAGGAGACTTTACCAATGTGACGCATTATTTCGGTGAAATTGTTGTTGTCAGTACTACGCGTCCATGTGACGTTCGGCGTTGGATTGCCACTGGCCGTACAAAGCAATTGTATTGTGGAGCCGGCTGGTTGATGTATATTCGAACTGAGCTTGTGTGCTTTTTTGAAGACTGGCGGACTTTCGTCTACTGTCACCGTTTCGTCATTCGCGTCAGCCGCATCTTTACTCTCCATATCCGTATCAATAGCGGTTATAAGCTTCTCATTGTCCTTCTCCGGTGTCAAGCCTACAGCTACGCTTGCTGGCGAGTGCGCCGTACGCTTTTCGAGTAAAAACGTCTTGGCTTTAGTTGGAATAGCTGTGCTTTTTGGCTCCACCACTGTCAAATAAGCTGTGGCTGCAGCTTTGCCAACCTCATTCGTGGCCACACAAGTATAGAAGCCTTCATTGTTCGTTTTTGCTTGCGCTATATTTAAAATGTCTGGATTTTCAGCAGACGTGGGTAACTCAATCACATTTGAATCAGTTGTTAAGTTTAAAGTCGCCAGAGTGTCGACATTAACTCCACGAGGGTGCTTGAACCAACGCATCTGCACTGCAGTGGGTGACACAACTTGGCACTGAAAGCGCGTGCTGTCGTTCAGCACAACCGTTTGGTTGGCTGGTTTGTGCACGATGAGTGGCTTATCGGAACGCAACTGACCGACAATGCGTAAGCGCAAACTGTGTTCAATGGAGCCGAGTTTATTATTGATTTTACATGTATAGACGCCGGTATCCGTTGCCTTAAGCTGCTCTATAAAAAGCGACCACTTCTTCAAGCGATAACGCAACGGTGTAAGATCCATGCGGGTATTATTGTGCCACCAAGTAATAACTGGTAGGGGATTTCCCATAGCGGGACAGCTCAGTTGCACGAAACTGCCCAATGGTTGCTGTATGCTATCGATGAGTTTATAGCTTTGTTGAAACTGTGGCGGTCCAGGATTTGGTAGATGCACAATCTTCAAAGCGGTATCATTCGCGCTCTTCGTGCCACTTAAATGACGCACCTCATCAGCCATATCTTCCACAGAGTCGGACTCATTGTGATCCAAACGTAGTTGTGCCTCCGCTTCGTCTTCTACCTTACTAAAGTCAGCTATATCTTCTTCAACACCAGCGGCGTTAGGCGGAATTGTTGTTTGGGGTGCCGATTCCGACACGCTCAACGCGACACTGACGTACTTCGGACCGAGTGGCACCTGCTCCGCCTGACAGCTATATACACCAGCATCTTTCGGCTGCACCGCTCTCAACACCAACAAACGATTACCGCTAAGAAACTCTTCATCTCTATACCACTTTATAGCGCCCTTAAGCAGACACGTCAGGCGCACATCTGTGTTTGGCGCAACCAAGCGTTTGGTGAGTATAACACTAGGGCTGAGTGTAACATTGACCACCTGTTGCGGTGGTGGTGATAGTGGTGGTGGTGGTGAACTACGCACCTCGGCCGCTGTCTGTATGTCGCTCTGCACACTTTTGGCCAATGACAAATAAGGCGGGTGGGCGCAGATAGCGATCAAGAGCACAAGCACATAACAACTCATATTTGGCGGGGCACGAAATATGAATGTTTTCAGTCTGATTTTGGACATTTTTGGTGCGCTGTTGTAGATTTTATAAATATACGGTGCGGCTGCGCGCTGCACGATCGCGCGTTCAAGGCGTAATGTGGCTGCTGGTTTTTGTTGTCTATTCAAGCACTTCCACCAAATGAGAAACTCACTTTAAAACTAAATGAAACTCGCAGACTTTTCTCTCTATTCTTTGTACGCGCACACCGAGTGCTTCTTACCACTTAGTAATTAAAATTCACATTGGCAGCAAGGAGTCTTGCGCTTACTCGTAAGACGGCGTTGACAGTTTTTATAACTACAAAAATATAACCCATCACTAGTAAATATGAAAGTCTTTATGAGTGTTTTATTCTTATTGTTTATTGCCGAGCGCTGCGCGGATTATTGTTATTATTGGTGTGGTGCTGTGGACGTTTCCCTCAGCGCTGCGTGCACGCACTGATCCTACACAAGATCTTAATCCACGCGTTCATAGGTGTGTAATCGCGTCTTGCTTTATCGTCTGTGCCTCTGCTTCAACACTGATTTATTTACATACATATTTTTTATACACATACATACATACGCACATATGTATATTCATAAATACATACATACGTATAGTACGTTGATTTAGTACATAAGCGGCAGCGGTACGACCGTAGGAAGTCACTATGCGAACCGCGGCGGGGAGCGTTTGCAGGCGAATCGAATAAAAGGAAAAGATTGAAAATAAAAAACGATGTGCAATGATTTCATAATGAGTTTTCTCTCTTTTTTTTTGTTTTCGCTATTTACTTCTATTTTATTTTATTCGCATTTTGTTTTTATTATGTTCACTTGAATATTTCAATCACTCCGTTGGCTCGCACTTGCGCGACGCGTCACCCAACTTGGCTAAAGGTAATGCTCTGCTCTGCTCTGCGCAAACGGAACGCTATGGACATACATACGTAAGCATATATGTACATATGTATTCATATATGTACATATGTATGCGGTCTTAACTTGGACGACCGTGTGGACGGATGGTCCCAATTTAGCCGGTATGGGCATTTGAATGCGCGCACCGACGATTCACAACGCTTGTCAGCGCTGTGTAGTGGTTTAGCGTTTAGGATTGGAACGCGGCTTACGCGACTTAGCCGGGTGCTATTTTAATTCATTCGCGAAAACATCAGCAGCAACAGCAATAGCAACAACAACAATTGCAAATTAACAACAACAAAATTATGTATGAAAGCGACTTAAGTAATAGTTTTAATTGCGCACTTTTATCCACATTTTTTTGTCATATCAACAATATATATATATATTGTATGCATAGATATGTAGATAAAATATTCTAAAATACATTTATACCCTGCAAGAAAAAATTCTATAAAAAATTAAAAAAAAAAACGGTTCGGCCAAAATCAATTTTAAGATTTTCATGTGCCAGAAATACATTCAGAGGACTTGATTTTCTTTCCCTGCTGACAGTCGACCGTAGTTCGAAAAAATAATTTTTCTAAATTTTTGGTTGTTGGTAGAGCTACGACCCGTCGGCTATTGCGGCCGCCGTCTTAATATAAATTCCATTTAAAGAGCCAACACAATATTTTTTTAGCAGCAATAACCACTTATTAAGTGCTAGAGCTTAGCTCCGTCGAAATGGGGAAAACCCTCTCCGAGTCGTCGATTCTAAGCGAGGTTTCAGAGAAGATGGCGTCTCTCTTTCAAATAATAAAAGCTGCAGAACTATATAGAGGGTACTATCTTCTATAAGAGCGAACAAATACTAGCGTGCGCCTATATTGATATCATCGGCCTCCACAATTTCGCCGTTAGTTCTGCTTTCTGCAAACAAAACATGCGGAAGCGAGGCTAAAGAGTCTAGCATCGATCGGAGACAAGACAAAATATCTACTCTTGCAAAAAATAAAAAAAAAAATTAGGCAGCCTTCTGGACTCGTCCCCATATAATTGTTAACATTGTACATAATTTCAGCGAGGAACCAGCGTCAATGCCAACATCAATTTGAAATTAAATTGATAATTACTTTTTTCAACTAGTATTGCCATTGGACTTAGTAGGAAATTGAAAAGTGAAGTCAGCTCCCGACAAAAAAAAATCGCGCTCAACAAGTTGGTTATCATTTCCATCCTATTTTATGACGCAGAACGATGTCAGCGACGATTGGAATCTTCGAGAGAAGGAAGATTTATGGTTTTCTACGACGTTTTCCGCAGAAGATGGAACGATTGAAAAAATCAAAATCTGGATATATCTAAGATGAATGCATAAAACTTAAGACCAATCGCTTGAACCATTACTGAGAAATTGAGATCATCGATGGCTCTCATGGCTTCAGTAAAGTAGAAAGTACGTTCCGAAAAAGCAAAATCTATAATCTCTATACAATAAGCTCCTTAAGAGAGCCCTCTTTTTAAGCAAAATCAATATTTAGACATTCATATTTATTCTCTTTACATGTAAAGGAGTTTGGATTAGCCAATAAGAACTCTTACTTTTAAAAATGAACGCCCCTCTAAGCGGAGATTATAAGTTCGAATTCTGGCTAAACCAGCACACCTAACAAATATATGCTCATGAGAATAGTATATAAAAAAATTAATAAATTAAATTAAGTTAAATAAATACTAAAACTTAAATGAAATAAAATAAAACAAAATAAATAAAATAAAATAAATTAAAATAAAATAAAATAAAATAAAATAAAATAAAATAAAATAAAATAAATTAAAATAAAATAAAATAAAACAAAATAATATAAAATTAAATAAAATTAAATAAACAATTAAATTAAATAAATAAGACACAATAACATAAAATTAAATTAAGTAAATCAAAATTAATAAATAAAAAAAAAAAAAAAAAAAAAAAATAAACCATAAAAAAGCAAAATAAAACAAATAAAAAAATCAAGTAAATTACAATGAAATATAATACATGAAATAAAAGTAAATGAAACAAAATAAAATACAACTAAACGAAGTGAAATTTCATATATTAAAAATTAATTAAAATTAAAATAAAATAAAGGCAAATAAAATTAAAATAAAATAAAATAAATAAACTAAATAAAAATAAAATAACAAATAATTTAAATTATAATTAAAATTAAGTAAAATAAAATAAAGTAAATAAATAAAATTAAATTAAATAAAGTAAATAAAATAAAAAAAGGAAGAGCAAAGTAAAATAAATTGAATTAAACCAAACTAAAAAAAAGTGAAATAACATTAAATTAAACTAAATTAAATTAAATTAAATTAAATATAATAAAATAAAATAAAGTATACCGAAGTAAATATATATATATTAATTTAACTAAATTAAACAAAATAAAATAAAATAAAATGAGATAAAATCAAATAAAATGAAATAAAATAAAGTAAACAAATAAATTTAATTAAATTAAATAAAATAAGAAAGAGTAAAATAGAATAGGTAAAATTTAGTATAATAGAATAATATAAATGAGAAAAAAATAAAATAACATAAAATATAATAACATAAAATGAAATTTAATAAACTAATATAAATTAAAAATAAAATAAAATAAAGTAAATAAATAGAATAATGTAAATAAATTGAAATAAGGAAGAGCAAAATAAAATAAAGTGAAATATGATTAAATTAATTTAAATGAAATGAAATTAAAAAAAAAGTAAATAAAATAACATAAGGAAAAGCAGAATACAATAAAATAACATAAAATGAAATATAGTAAAATAATATAATTTTAAACAACATAAAATTAAATTAAATAATATAAACTTAAATTAAATAATAAAATTAAATAAAAAAGAATAAAATAATAATAATAATAATAATAAATAAAAGAATAAATAATTAATTAAATGGATTAAAATACAGTAAAATAAAATGTAATAAAATAAAAAAATTAAATAAATTAAGAAATATATATAAAATAAATTTAGAAATATATATAATATAAATTAGATTAAAAATAATATAAAAAATTTTAATTTAAGTAATGTAAAATAAAACACAAAATAAGGTACATATAATAAACACATAACAAAAAAAATTAATTAAATTCAATGTAATAAAAAGGTAATAAAATAAAATAACATAAAATAATAAAGCATAAAAAGGTTTTTATGCACTTTTGAATATAAAATTTTCTTTTATTTTTGCGTTACTTTCAAATTGTTTATATGCATTATCTTAGTATCAAATTATAATTTTTATTTTTTTATAATTTTTGCAACTGTTCAGAGGCGCGTTTGTCTATTTCCGCTGGAAAAGTTGTAAATACTTAAGAAAAAAGTTTCCGTTCTATATGGTATGTATATATCCACACACACTCCGCATGCTATTAACATATACAAACACACATATACACGCAAGAAAAACACCTTTCAACATTTCTTTCTCTCCTCACTTTTATAGAGCTACATAAACGTTTTGAGTATAATTGAACTGATTGCCTTTTATAGTATGACTGTTATTGTTGTTATTGTTATTTTGCCTTTTTTAAAGAATTGGTTGCAAACGACTTGATGGTAATTTTGTTGATTTCTAAACGACAGCCAACTAGCCAACCAGGCAACCAGCCAGCCAGCCAACCAGCCCAGCCATAGGGTCTGCGATTCTTAACGTTTATAATTGCAGTCGTCGATGAAGTGGCTTTGCTTGATTTGGAGAGCTTTCAAACGGTTAATGAAATTTTTATTCTAACTACGATTAATTCGCATTAGGTATAATTGTTTTAATGTTATTGTTGTTGTTGTTAGATTGATGCATATTCGTTTACATATACATATGTACATATGTATGTAAGCTAACAGTGTGTATCATAGATAAATCGTGCATGAATGCATTTACATATGTAAGTAAGTGCACATGTACATACGTATGTACACGTATGTATGTATGTGCATATGTGCAGTTATTAATGTGCTAGGTTGCGGTTTTCAATTGCCATATTTAAGGTTCATATATTTGTTGGTAAGGAAAGTGTGTTACGATTGTACCTAATTCGCACTGACAAGCGCATTTCAATCATTTCCACTTGGCGTTTCTTCAAGAATTTTCATTTGTGCCCAATTACACGAAAAAGTAGCGATAATTTTGAGCGGAAGGTGTTAAAGCTTTATTGAGCAATAACAAAAGCACTTTTCACTCTCCCTTAACCAGTTAATGGATTTTGCGTCTTTTTTTTACAGCAAATTGCCTAAATATTTTACAGGCTGAAGGCAGGTAGTAGAATAAAATATATTTTTTCCCCTCTCATAAAGGATATTGTTCTGAAAGCGGAGAATGTGAGGTCAAAATTTACACTGACAAAGCTGAGAGTGCCGAACTAAGTTGATCTACTCGAGTCTGTCCGTACTTTTTTATGGTTTGATTTCCGAGTTCTCCCTTCAATGCAGGCCCCATGCAGTCGATTGTTCAGGTAAGAGATAAATTTAAGGAGTGCATGGCTCTAGTAATTTAATTAATAAAAATTCTAATTTCATTGATGGAAAATCTTTAGTTTACAAATAGAATTCGTTCCAAGATTCTTAC